TACCAAAATGAGATAGGACCAGAGTGAAGCAAATACAGAGAGAAGGTTTATGATAGAATTGAATACCTGACCCTCTTGTGAAAAAATATATTTATAGAGAGACCCCAGCGCAGAGTCAACGGTCATTTAAGTTGGACTGGATGGCCAAGCCCAACCCAAGTGACTGTTAGGGCTTACGTGGTGTAGTGAAGACCGGGACGTGGTCTTCACCCTAGGTCAACTGTCCTGTGATCTCCGGAAGGCGGGTTGACCTGCTCTTTCGGGGATGGGTGGTTGTCTGATGACGTGTCCCCGACGGAGAATCCTTGTGCTCGACGTACGTGATATGGGCTTGCTTGGGCTTTTCCAAGAAGCATTTGGTTTGGCCTACCCGGTCAAGCCGGGACCCAGTCCACAACAATTTTAATTAAGATTTTAAAAATGCTAATAAATAATAAATTTGATATAATATATAATCTGTTAAAAATTAATACTACAAAATGAGAATGATGGATTAAGATTGAAACAAATGAAATAATAAAAATAAATGAATTAAATTAAATTAATAATAAGTATTAAAAAATAAGTATCATCGAATAATAAATTAAAACAACACATCATGTTAATAAAAAATATAAAAATAAATAACGACAAAAATATATATATATATATATATATATATATATATATATATATATATATATATATATATATATATATATATATATAGAGAGAGAGAGAGAGAGAGAGAGAGAGAGACGTTCCTGTTAGATTTGGATCATTTTTAAAAAAATTAATCTGAAATTTGGTTTGAACCGAGTGATTTTTACAAAATGACATTGAAACAGATCCAATAATATCCAATTTTTTGTTTTATTTAGATCGATTTGCAGTTTTTATTTGAATCGGTTTGCATTTCAACGCCCCTGGTATAAGGTGTAATAAAATAAAATTTATGATTTGAATTATTAAAAATAAGATGAATCGGAACGGAGTTGTATCTATCTTATTATTAAGAAATGCGGTTTGACCTAATTGAACCTTACAAAATCGATTTGTAGGGTGAGGATTGCTTCCACTTAAAAACACGTGTTTTTACAATATATTATTCGTTGTAAGACTCTTAACACACTCCCTCACGTTCAGGATTGGACATCTGGAGCATGAAAATAAATGGTAGTAGTCTGATAGCAGATAGTCTACTGAATCTTAAACTAGAGTCTTAATACCATGTTGAGTGTTGTTTATTGAAATTGAAAGAGTGAATTTAAGAAGAGTTTTGAAACCCTAATTGAAGAGCATGTTAGATTCATCGTCGTCATAAAATGGAACGTCCTTGTTTCGTTCTACAAGAGAAATGAGTTCAACCATATTTATTAACACTTTTTACTTATTATCATTTTTTTTCACTTCGATTTGGACATAATAAGAAATTTAGTTGTGTTTTGTTATAAAATATTAAAAATTCAAACAATGGAATTGAATCTTTAATTCTTTTAGATTTATTCCACTTCATTTCACTAACTTGTTTATATTAGTTTTTGTAATTTTATTTACTATTTTTTAAATCTATAATATAAGAAAACAATATGCTCTTAAAATACCATTTTTGCCATGTTTTTCTTCTTTCAACACGTTTCAGTTTTGGGGTTATTTTATGTCTATATAAGTTATTTCTCAACTATGTTTCTTCTTTAATTTCAAACTAATCGAATTCCACATTTCAATACAACACTTTTCAGCCCAATTTTTGTCTAACTCAACTTTTATTCAACGAATTTTAATTTCTAGTTTAAAACAAACTGATTTCCTCTTTATTTGCTTTTCCTTTTCTTTTACTTTTTCAAAACACCAATATGTCAAATCAATTTTAGTTTGCAAACCAATATTGTCACCTAACTCAGAAACTCTCTCATTTCTCTCAACCTTCTTCCATCACATCCTTATCTTATTTGTAATCTCATATTGCAATTTAGATCTTCCATATCAGTGGTATCATCTATCATTTTTCTTGAAAAGATATGATTGGAATCCAAACCAAATGCAATTCAGAGACACGTGTGAATGGTAAATATTATTAATGCTCAGGACCACAAGTGAGGAAGACACCACATCTCAACCTAAAACTTTAAGGTGTTAAGTAAATTGGTCATTTCTCTTATAAATCCAACATTTCATTCATTCATAGGAAATGTGGGACTTTAACCACTCACACTTGTACCTGACATTCTCCCCCACAAGATCCAGCACCAATGAGACTAATGCTCAAGGACCACAAGAGAGAGAGAGAGACACCACATTTCAATCCAAAATCTTACAGTGTTAGGTAAATGAGTTATCTCTCTTATAAATCCAACATTTCATTCATTCATAGGAAATGTGGGACTTTAACCACTCACACTTGTACCCGACATTCTCCCCCACAAGATCCAGCACCAACGAGACTAATGCTCCAGGACCACAAGAGAGAGAGAGAGAGAGAGAAAGAGAGAGAGAGAGAGACACCACATTTCAACCCAAAATCTTACGGTGTTAGGTAAATGGGTTATCTCTCTTATAAATCCAACATTTCACTCATTCATAGGCAATGTTGGGGTTGGTTGAAAAAATACATATTGAAGAAGTCTCACATCGCTTAATCTTTTTTAATGAAGAGAGAGTCCAAAGTTATATATAGAATACAAGTTCTTTGACGTCCCACATAACTTCAAGTGAAATTTATTCCTCATGATAAAGTATATAATTGTTGGTGATGACCATGTGAAATTTTTGAAATAGTTTATCTTCAAGTGACTATACTTTTTATGATGGAGTATGATTGTCGGTGAAAACAATGAAAATTGATGTATTATTTCCAATCAAAGTGGACATTTTTTAGATTATTTGAAAATATACATGTTGATACTCTTTATAGTGGAGTATGATTCTCGGTGAAGACAATGAAAGTTAATGTATTATTTTCAATCAAGGTGGAGATTATTAGAGTTAGTTGAAAATATACATATTGAAGAAATCTCATATCGCTTAGTTTTTTGAATGAAGAGAGAGTCCAAGACTATATATAAGATACAAGTTCTTTGAAGTCCTGCATCACTCAGTTTTATGAAGGAAGAGAGAATCCAAGGCTATATATAAAAGGATTCAAATTCTTCATTACAAGATGCACTAGTTAAAAACATTTTAAAATTGTATTTGACTTTCTTTGTTCTCTTATACTTTAGTATTAAAGTTTTGTGAGATGTAGTTAAATATTTGTTTTGAAGGGTGTACTGGGAGTCTGAGTTATTATGTGTCGTAACAATTTTTACATAATGTTATTCTCTCTGGTTGTTTATAGATAACGTGGATTTTTTTCTCTGATTTTAAAGTTTCTACGTTTTGTTCTTGTGTTGTAATTGTGTTTTTTTTTACATACACAATAGTTTATTTTTTTCCATTTTTGATCATTCATCTCACTTCTTCTTCTTTGCTTAAGATCTAAAAGCTTAATTAGTTTTTCGTCCTTCATGAGTTTTTAGACCCATGGAATGTTTGTTTCCTTCTAACTTTTTGTTTTAAAGTTTATTTTATTTCCCACATAACCATAAAGAGGGTTTGGGTTTTAGATTTTTTAATGAACAAATTGTTTTTCTCTTCACGTTTTGATCTTTATATTTTTATTCTTCTAACCATGTATACTAGATTTTATGGCTTTCATATTTTTCTTTTTTTAAAACTAAATAACCAATCCATATGAAAAAATCAAAATGTGAAGGGGAAAAGGCAAATACTTACGATATCTATTTAAAATGTGTTTCCTCGTATTCATTCTATGTCTATTTTTTCAGTTGTTTTTTTATAATGACTTTTTTTAATGGTTTTTAACATTTGCTCATGTCAATCTTTATGTTGTTTTGTTTTTTGTTTTTTTTAAGTTTGTTTAAGTTAAAGATCAACTACTTGAAAGAAGCAATTTTTCACTGTGTTCAACAAGAAGACGTATAATAGTTTTAGAACCAACATCATATTAGTTTTAAACAATGATTTTTGTTTCATTTGTTGTGTTGTTATTGCAATGGTTTATAAAAATCTGCTACAAATATTAATATACTTAGATATGCATTACTTTGCTTATGTTTTTATATGTTAGTAAAGAACTAAAACGTTACAGCATATGCAGTGCCACTTTCTTTTGCTCCCTAGAAACTCCCTAGAAACCATGTCTAATGATTCTCAGATACTTTATGAAATGGTTAATGTTGAACATCTAAGAAATTTGTAAAATTACCTTTAAAAGTATGGTCTTTAAATAGAAGATTATGTTGCAAATTGATCAATGTAGTCGACTTTATTTAGTAGGATAAGACTTGGTTGTTATTGTTGTTGCTTTTGTATCTAACTTGAGGCAGAAACTGCTCATATAAAATCAAAATAAAACCGCCATCACACACTGCGTTTGTCTGAACATCTATGCAAGCAATGGCTTCTCTAAACGAATAGTGAAACCATGCCATCCAATCCAACTTCCTTCAATAGCCTTCTAATATTTTTGCAACAAACTCCAACCTTCATGTGTTCTTCATGTTTATAAGACAGTATAGTAACCACTACCTAAGAATTAACATGAAGCTCTACTCTATTAAATCCGCAAGATCGAGCTAATTTGTGATCGTTTTGGTATAGGGGCTTTCATGCAATCTTGGTTTCTGTAACTCAGACTAACTTAAATCAAACCAAATTTGACTACTTTATCTATGGTATAACTCATACATAGTGAAAAATCAATAATCACTGCCACAAAACAAACAATAACACACTATGGCCATGCAGCAGTTCAAATCTGACCAAAAAATTTCAACATATCATATGCTTTATAGTTTATAAATTGCTGTCTACAATTGCAACCGTTGCAGCATCAACGTTATTTGCTCGCATTGTGTTACAAAATCAACGTTCTCAACGTAACTGCAACGGTGGCTATAACTTCAACTTACAAGTATGATATGTTTACAACAACATGGTGAACATCTGATAAGGTGAAATCATTCATGTGCAACACGAATGACTTGCTTACCGACGTTCTTACCGTGGAAAAGTCCAACAAAAGCAGCAGGAGCACTTTCCAAGCCTTCATTCATGTCTTCGAAGTACACAATCTTTCCTTGTTTATAGTAACTTGAAACCTGTTCCACGAATTTTGGGAACAAGTGCAAGTAATCGCTTTGCAAAAAACCTTCCATTCTTATGCGCTTATAAATGAGAGAGGTTAAATTGTGAATTCCTTTGGGATCAGAAACGCTTGACTGAGAAATCATTCCACAAACTGCAATTCTACCATGAATCTTCATGTTAAGAAGAGCAGCATCAAGCATGTCACCACCCACATTATCAAAGTAGATGTCAATGCCTTGTGGAAAATACCTATCAATTGAATCATGGAAAAAAAGTTAGATTAATGAAGTATAACGACCAATGTTTTTAGATTGACTTATTTGAACTTATCTACTAAGTACTAACATACGCGCTTGTATGATAGAAGAATTTATGGAAACAGTTTATGACATGTCCATGAGGGTCTTGTTTGGATAAACAATTTAATTAAACTTAAACTCTTATCATAGAAGTGTTTATGTATAAAGCTATTTCTATAACAAAAGATAAACTCAAGTTAAACTATTTTCCTCTAAGCTATAAGTTGTTTTTAGAAGCTATCCTGAAGAGCTTTTAAAAATAAGCTGAAAACAGTTTATGAAAATGACATAAACTGTTTTCTTAAATTCTCTCAAACAATCTCAGAAGTGCTCATGTCAATAGAAATACTCAATTGGGACAATTCCAAACAGACCCAAGATGTTTCCAGCTTATTTTTCTAATTTCTCAAGAATAACTCTTGAAAACAACTTATAGTATATATAAAAACGATTAAACATTTTTGTTATAAAAATAGCTTATACACAAGCACTTATGCGATAAGTATTTGTGTTGTATGCACTTAATTAAGTTGTTTATCTAAACAGGGTTTGATTAGAACTCAATAGTGCTACTTCTTAAATAATTTTAATTTCCAAACACAATTGCTAACCATTCAGAATTATATAACATCCTTGAGCTTGATACTCACCTTTTTAAAGCTGCATCCAAGTCCAATTCTTCTTTATAGTTAAAAGCTTCGTCGAACCCAAGCTTCTCCTTTAGAAGATCAACCTAATGCAACAGATTTAGCGAGTCAAAAAGCTTATCAACTAAATGCATGGTCCAAGTATTTGTGTATGCATATACATGTATCTAATTATCGATGCTCGATCTATTTTCATTTTCAGACATAAAAGAAAAGGAAAAAGTAACTTGAGCATTAATAGAACAACCTAATTAAGTATTTATTATTATTCAACCTATTTTAGAGGTGTAATTAAGAGCTTATTTTCAGACCTTCTCTTTTGAGCCAGCACTTCCAACAACATAGCAGCCATGCAACTTTGCAAGTTGGCCAACAAGTTGACCGACAGCACCAGATGCTGCAGATACAAAAACATATTCGCCACTTTTTGGGGCACACACCTCGTAAAATCCGGCATAAGCAGTTAAACCCGGCATTCCTGTAAATTAAACGAATTACATTCAACTGATTTGAACTAAAGATTAAAGAAGTTAAAGCGGTAGGGTTCACACCCTGTGAATCTGAAAATACTAACATAACAACAAATATATTAACATTGAAAACGGATTAATTCATATTTATCAAATGAATATGAAATTGTTACCTAGAAGACCAAGATGAAAGGAAAGAGGAATGTGATCATCAGGCTCAATTTTTCTCAACTGCTGAGCTTTAGTGATACTGATGATGCTGTATTCTTCCCAGCCGGTAAACCCGGAAATCAAATCACCAACTTTGAAATTTGGATATTCAGATGCTATAACTTTAGACACACCAAATCCTTCAAGTGCCTTCATTCATCAAAATAGATTAACTTAAGTACTACAATAATTATATAAAAATTATAAATATGAATAAATTGATTCCAGGTTTGATTATAAATAAGCACTTAATCCCTATTTTGATGAACAATGTAATTAAGTGCTATTTCTATACCTGTGAGGGAACGAATGGGGGAATGTAAGATCCGTGAAAATCACGCATACGACCACGCATATATGGATCGCAAGAGAGAAAGAGATTCTTGACGAGAAGCGATTGTGGTGGAAGTTGTTGATTAAATTGAATATTTGAAAGTTTGAGTTCCATGTCAGTTTGTTTGGGAACTCCATCGATGTATCCTTTGAATATCACTTGCTTGTTTTTCACTTCTGAATTTGCCATTATGAGATCTATGTTGCAATTGCAAATGAATGACAGTAAGAGAAGTGAAAAGTAGTGGCAGAAAAGTTAGTTAATCACGTTTGAAATTTAAGCAGCCAGAGAGTAAAAAGAAGCACGTCGTTGGTGGGTGAATAATAAATAGTCAACAGAGACTGAGACTGCACGTGTGCTCATAAGACTCTCCGCCACCTAAATTCTAATTAATTATTAATATTAATATTATGTATGTATATTAAAAAAAAAAGGAATAACATAAATATTTGGGTTTAATGTTTTTAAATTCTATAAAGATTTTTTTTAATCCCCATAACATCTTTAGTGTAGGTTTTGTAGTATTAAATCTTTTAATCGTAACGGTACCTATAAATGTATTGGAATAAGAATGACATAACAGCAATTGAACTAACCATTAATTTTCGGCAGCTATATAACCAATGCACATTATCAAATTTCAACGATTCTGATTATTATTTTATAATATTAAAATATAAAACGTGAGGTCAAATTTTGGTTTTTTACGAACAATCATCATTAAAGTAAAAACAATTTAAATCAACTATAAATTTTTTAAATCCTATAAATCACTTTGGGTTCACAAAAAAATATATTAATTTATCAATTTAGTTTACTCCCACTAAAGATGTTATTATATGATTTAGATTCCATAAGAAACCTTCTAAATGCCACATGCCCTCACATATTCTCCATCTTTTTTCAATTTATGTCTACGTGGATTAATCTTATTGACATGTGGCATTTTAATTTTTTTTTATTTGTTGTTGATATAGATATAACATTTGAATTACTCCCTTGTAAAAATTAAGGTTTATGTGAAGAAGAATACGAAGACGACGACGCTCAGGCAAGGGAAGAAGGTGACAACGTTCAGGCAAGGGAGGAAGGCTACGACGTTTGAGGTTGTGGTTGGCTACGACATTGAAACCTATAATGTCTGAGGTAAGTGAACTCTAATCTTCTTCATCCTCCAACGTAATAATGATTTCAAACCTCCTTATATTAGTCTTAGTTTTTGCTTTTGATCTGAAACTTTATTCACAAGAAATGCAACATTTTAATGTTACTTTTCACCATGGGAGGGAATTTATCATGGTAAACCAAAACGAGATCATTTATAGAGGGGGTCGATTCGAATGTGTTTGGGTTACACATTAAAAATTGGACAATGGATAGTGTTGATAAGATAGTGAATATGTGAGGTATAAGAAAGGAAGTTATATGTTATTGACAACAATTTTGGAAATTGATGAGAGTCTCATTCAGATAAGAAAAGATGATGATGCATACAATTTTGCATCATATTGTTGTGCAATGGTAACTGATGGAGATATCTTTGTGGAACACGATGTTGAAAACATAGAACTTGGAGTAAGCGAACCTAAGTGTGTTAATGGGGTGACTGATATGAATGAGGTAGAAGATGAGGTGGTTGAAGGTTTAGATGATAGTGAAGATGATAGAGTTACTGCTCTTGTAGATGAGTTTAAGGGAATTGATGTAACATTACCTATAAGGGGAGAGAGGGTAGTTGCTGGACTTTTGGGTAGGCCCAATAAAAAAAATTGATAAAGATGATTATTATAGTGATGAGTTGGTCTCCTCGGATCCAAATGATTCTTTTTATGATAAAAAGCCAAAGTATGAAAGTTTTTAGAAAGAGCATCTCAACAAGGACTATAAATTTAAGTGGGGTATGAAATTTAATTCGAGTGTTGATTTTAGGGAGGCAATTCGTGAGTCGTTAGTGCTAAATGGAAGTGAAATTACATCTGTGAAAAATAAAATTTATAAGTTAAGGGTAGAGTGCAAGGCTAATGTGATTTTTAGTCTTGTGCTCTAAAATGGCCACAATCACACTTTTGCTACAAAAACACTGCTAGATACCCATACATGTGTTAGGGTTTTGAATAATAGATATGCAAGCTCAAAGTGAGTGGCTAAGTCTGTGGTCAAGATAATGCAAACATGTGAAATAGTAAGAATTTTAGATATCATGCAAGACATTAGACAAAACTGTTCTGTAGGTATTAGTGTTGCAAGAGCATGGAGGGATAATTTGATAGCAAAGAATATTATTGAATGTGATGCTGATAAGCAGTATGGAGCTCTATGAAGGTATGCAGCTAAGTTGAGAATGGTTAATATTGGTAACATTGTGAACATAAATGTTGAAAGACCATGTCCATCCATCCAACCAAGGTTTGCCTCGTTTTACTTTTGCTTTGATGGTTGTACGAAAGGTTTTATAAATGGATGTAGACCATTTTTTTGGGTTGATGGTTGTCACCTGAAGACCAAATATAGTGGAAAACTACTAATTGTCATGGGTATGGATCCCAATGATCAATACTTCCATTTGACATTTGGTGTGGTTGAAACTAAAACAAAGGAGAGTTGGAGATGGTTCATACAACTATTGATAGAAGATATTGGACAAGAGATAAGATATGTGTCTATCTCTGATCACCAAAAGGTATGGCATTAACCTTAAGTATTGTATAACATTGCATCAAATGTATATGTTAGTTCTTTACTTATTGATCCACTTTTTTATATTTTGTTTAGGGACTAGCGGCTGTGTTTGCGGAAATGTTCGATATAACTGAGCATAGATTGTGTCTTAGACACTTGTATGCAAATTTCAAGAAAAGTTTTGGTGGTGGAAACCTTATAAGGGATTTGATGATGGGAGCTTCTAAGGCCACATACTATTAATGATGGGTCCAAAAAATGGATGAATTAAAGAAGGTAGATATGAATGCTTAGGCTTGGTTGATGGTTATTCCTACCAGACGTTGGTGTAAGCGTGCCTTTAATTTTTACCCTAAATGTGATGTTATGATTAAGAATATTTATGAGTCTTTTAATGTTATGATTTTAGTTGCTAGAGACAATACTATTCTTACTATGTGTGAGTGGATTAAAAAGTATCTTATGAATAGGTTAACAACATTTGCCACCAAACTTGAGAAATGAAAACATAGAGTTATGCCAATACCTATGAAGAAGTTAGATAATGAGGTGTTCAACAGTGGTCATTGACTGCCAACTTGGTCCATGGCTAAGCAATTCCGGGTTACACATAGTTTCAACGCACAAGAGTTTATTATTGACATATCAAAAAGGTAATGAAGCTATAACTTTTGGGAATTGGTAGGAATTCCTTGTAGGCATGTCGTAACTGCTTTAAGTTAAAGGAAACAAATACCTGGTGATTTTTTTTATGAGTGTTATACAAGAGAAAAGTATGCACTTTGTTATGGTTATTCAGTGAGTCCTATCAATGGGCAGGATATGTGGCCAGATGTCCAAGTGGATGAGTTACAACCTCCAGCATATAAAAATGGATCTGGTAGACCAAGAAAGGTTAGGATACGAGAATGTGGTGAGGAAGGTGCAGGGAAGAAAAGACCTGGGGTGGCCTATAAGTGCATCAAATGTGATAAGTTTGGCCATAATGTATTGACATGTAAGAGCTTGACACAGGACCCTAATGCGCTAAAAAGAAAGGTAACATGTGTTTACTTATTGATATGCATCTTATGTGAATTTGTTGGAATTTTGTTTTTGGCTAAATGTGTGAACATATGTTTGTATGTTGACTTTGTAAAGGAAACCTAAAGCTGAGAAAAAGCCAACTGATGTAAAGGCTACTGCATACCAACTAATGTAGAGGCCACTGCTATGCCAACTGATGTAGGGACTACTTCTATGCCATTTGAAAACAGTTCAATTGTGCAGACTCAAGTACCAACTGCTATGCCACCTGAAAAAAATCCAACTGGGCAAACTCAAGTACCAGCTGTTATGCCAATCGTGCAAAGTCAAACTGAATCTTGTGTTGTAGATATAAGTTAGTCACAAGCAAAAAAAAATAGTCATTAAAAGAAGGAATTGTGAAAAGTAAAGTTGAAATCGTTTAAAAAGCCAATTATAGGCCCAAGATCATCTAGTAACCAACCAATTACATTAGAAGAACCTGGAGAAAGATCAAGTGTACAAGATTCTAAGCTTGAAGCGTCAACTAGGCCTTTGAAGTCTTGGAATAAGAAAAAATGATAGATTAAGTAGTTGTTATTGAATTATATTTTATTTTTGTGCTAGTAATGCTTGTTACATACCTATGTTAAATTTGTATTTGTACTGATGTATCGAAGCTATACTGTCATTTTATGCTTGTGTCAAAGCTATGTTAAGTTTGTGTTTGTACTGATGTATTAGACCTATGCACTAAATGTGCTTTTTGTTAATGAAAATGATGTGTTATTTTGTTAACTATGCTCTCAATCTTTCATTTTATGCTTTCTTGTCAGACTTATTTACTAAATGTGGTGAGGTCAATTAAAGATGAACATTTTGTATCAGTCCAACATCATGTAACCTGATATTTATAAAATTGTTACAATATAGAAACATTTTATATGAGTACAACAAAAACATTTTGTAACCTCATGTTTATACCACTGCAACAAAAACAATTTGATCAAAACATAGTGTCGCTACGCGAAAAATGACACAAAGTCGCCACCTGGTTTTATATATCCCAAGGAGGAAAATGGAGATAGCGATAAAACCTTTAGGGAAAAGAGCATGGTCATCACAACCAAGTCTTAGGGTTCGGGAGTCGGTTATACGAGGGGAAGGTATTAGCACCCCTCGCATCCATCGTACTCGATGGGAACCTTCTAGGTTGTTTCGCTTGAGTGGGTGTTTTTAATCTAAAAGTTTGCTTGTTTTTTAAAAGAAAGAGGGATTTGTTTTTTTTTATTATAGTGCTCGCAAAGGATTGTGGCCCCTGTGCCTACGTATCCTCACTTATTTTAAGTGAGGAATCAGAGCTCCGTAGTTCGGAGGCTTGTGAAATGGTTGTTTGTTGGTTGTTTTTATACCTTGAAAAAGGGTTTTCAGATTGATGCTCTAAGGCGAAAAGAAGTTTGATGAGTTGATGTTATTTTTAGGTTTTTTAAGAGAAATTGTTTTTG